CCACATTCAACATTGTTTTTGGGAAACATTTTTTGTTTACCTCAGAGGCATGAAAACTGATTAATTCCTACGTTGATTGAAGCTCATAGGTATTCACACCTGTATTCACTACTAGCTTCTTTGCCAGACTCAGATGCCTCGCATCTTTTTGCTCTACACAGAGATTCCTCATCAACTTTTGTGCAGGGAAAACCGAGGGTACGGCTTCCACTTTCAATAAGTGTACTAAGTTTAAAATCACTTGGCAAGAAGTGCTCGGAACAATAGAAAAGATTTCCTACCGAGGTAAAACAGGCATCTCCCCTTTTCATAAGTATTTCCCACTTTTTCCTTCTTTGTTTATCTGGCTTGTCCGAAGGAAACTCAGTCGTGGAGATAATAAATCAGGTCGGTTTTTGCTTCGATTATTAGGGTTTGCAGCCGCACAACACTTGTGTCCAACTCTTTTCCTTTTCCTTACCACATTTGCTCCAGACAAGGTACTCTAACCTACATACATTCGATTTTTTTCGTTCTTCTCCAACATTTCGTCCGCCATTTTGAAAGCTCGAAGGCTATTAAGCCTCGCTTGCATGCAACTTCCGTTTTTTTCCTGGAATCGGTGTATTTAGAGCATTCGATTTGTTGACTTGATTTGAAGATTCTCCGCATGTCGCGAGTGACTAACAGAAATATAATGCACTTGACGTTTACTCGAAGCATTGCATTATTACTCTCACATCGGAAAGGCATAAAGGCTTAATAAGGAGTTTAGACAGTTGTATGGAGGTTTGAATACGCTGCGAATTAGCAGCTTTTTAGTTCCTCGAGCTGCTTTATTCCAAGCTGTTATGCTGTGATCCTGCTTGTTGTACACAACTCAAGCCGGAACTTCAATTTGAAAGACAAGTGAAGAAATTATTGAGCGTAGCAGAACTATGCCGAATGCGGAAAATGGTTGTGGCAAATCACGTTCTTTTAAGGTGGCTCATAACGGTTTACCGCATTTTTCAGAACTTGATCATCGAAGCTACCCCTCGCCGGTTTATATTTGATGCTACAATAGTGGTATCAAACAAATGTCCAATTGTTCATGAAGAAGTTGAAGCTTTCTTCGTGATGCAAAAGGTTCCCGTAACAACAATATAACCCGTTGAAACAACCCTAATTCTAAATTTATGGGCTCTTTAATTCACTTAAAATCGAGTCATTTAACCC